TTGGCCACTCTTCAAGAATTTGGGCCATATCCATGCTGTATATAGTGGGTGAGTTTTTTTGCGCCCTGGGGCATAATAATTATGTGTAAATGGAAATAAATACTGGATGTCAGGATCCAGGGGAACACTGAAAAAATTTATTTGCCAAGTCAATAACAGTAAATACTTTAGAGGAAGATGGTATCTGTGACAACAAGGTGTGTGGGTTGGGAACATTAGGGGCAGTGAGTTCAGTTACAACATTAATTGCCCTCAAATCATGTACCCTATGGTAGACCACCGGTTTCCCTTCCTCTTGCTTTTTCTTTATTGGGTACAATGGTGTGTTACAAGGGGAGGTGGTCTGGACAATTACCTCTGCCTGCAGTAATTCTTGCACAGATTGAGAAATAACATCTTCCTGTGCAGGGCTTAGGGGGTATTGTTTTTAACAGGATGGGGTGGTTCCAGGCAGGAGATTCACTTTGACTGGAGGCACAGAAAGTCTGCTTGTATCTGTCTTCCCTTTAGCCCATAGAGAATCAGGGACTGAGGACAAGTCAATGGCAGGTTCTGGCACATGGCTGGGCATAGTGAGAGTTGCCAGAACATTTGAGAGGGATATAATTTGTTTGTACTCTAAAGGCACAGACAATGTTACTTTCCAAGTGGGGCTATACTGGATATTTAAAGCATGTAGAGACACTGGGTTGCCAATTTCCTATTCGGGAGGAGGAGGTGGTGGAGGTAGTCGGTTGTCATGGGAGTTAGCATTTGAATCCTGGGGGTTTCTATGTTTAGGAGGACACCTGCAGTTGCGTTTAATGTGTCCTTTCCTTCCACAATCCCAGCAGTCTACCTGCCTTCTGTCTCCACCAGCTCTAGGGACAGATAGTGCCATTAGAGGTGTGCTCCTCATTCTAGTATTTAAATTGACTTCCACTCCCATGGCCACCTTTACCAGATCACCATAGGTTAAACTTCTCAACTCAGGTCTAGCATCTTGGAGACCAGTCCTTATGGGTATGTGGAGACCATCCATGAAGCAGTCAATAAGCAGTCTGGTGGAATTGTAATTTCTGTGTAACCCAATGCCTCCCAAGCCATCTGTAGTCTGGTGAAGAATGTTTCAACAGATTCATCATTCCCTTGTACTTTATCTCCTAATTTATGGATGTATGGACTCCTTTGTCTTTACTTTAGCCCATTCTCTCATTGCAGGGACATAACATGTTCCAGATGCAGACTTGGTTCTAAACCATATGTTTGCATGTTGCTTCTTTTGAGGTTATCTTCATGGGCATCAGTATATTTAGCAATTATTCTAACCCAAATGGGCCCAGCTTTCAGGGTGTTACGGGCAAATGCAAATATTACAAGTTTTAGAATGAAATGTATTTCTTAAACTGTGTACTTTGACTGTAAGAGATATTGCAAACTGACAAGGTGTTAGAAATGGAACATATTGTTTTTCATAACTGTTTCTTTAAGCAATAACCTCAGTGCATAATATGTTTGCGCCATTTTGTCCCAGACGAATTACAATAATGCATAAACAAGCTTCAAGGCTATGCTACGACTCTTGCAGTACACAATATACTGTGGTAACCCCAAGTTAATGGAACTTCCCCAAATCCGGGAATCTCCCACGACTGTACACTTACGACTTAGTATAAACAACAGATAACCTATTCAGACTTTAAGATGCCATATATATTCACAGTGCTCTTACAACATTAAAATTAGCCTCTTTCAGAATTGTAGAATATGTGGTGGAACTGAATCCCCATATGAGATTTGAAACTGTATTTTTATTCCTACGCTGTGCCCTGATCAGTATTTATATCATCATTGTGTAAAAATGTTTAATGGAAAAAAGCAAAAAAGCAAAGACAAAAGACAAAGGCAAATACCAACACCATCACCACGGTAATAACAGATGATGCTGATTCAATATCTGCAACCAATTCTAGCCAAATATTTGGAAAGCTGGACTCTACAACCTATACTCTCCAACAAATACCCGGGTATTCTACAAACACAACCTCCAGCAATGTATCTAAGGAATGTAAACTTCTACAGGCCTTTAAAGACTTTGGATTACAAATACAATTACTATTTTTAATTTTGGATTACAATTCGTATACGGATCCATTCAAGTATATCTTCCTCTGGAACTTGGTGTTCTTTTCAATTCTTTCCCAGACAAAAGCTTTGCTCATTTTAATCAACCACCTTTACAGGCAAAGATCACACTACGGATATTTTACTGTTACAACAATGATCTAAGATGCTGGGAGCATAAAAAATCTAAAAGACAGTTGGAGAACTTTGGTTTACTAATTTAAGGAAGAAATGCGCTACAATGCCCACAGTTTAATGGAGAGGGTGTTACGGGCAAATGCAAATATTACAAGTTTTAGAATGAAATGTTGTATTTCTTAAACTGTGTACTTTGTCTTTAAGAGATATTGCAAACTGACAAGGTGTTAGAAATGGAACATATTGTTTTTCATGACTGTTTCTTTAAGCAATAACCTCTGTGCATAATATGTTTGCGCCATTTTGTCCCAGACGAATTACAATAACAATAATGCATAAACAAGCTTCAAGGCTATGCTACGACTCTTGCAGTACACAATATACTATGGTAACCCCAAGTTAATGGAACTTCCCCAAATCTGGGAATCTCCCACGACTGTACACTTACGTCTTAGTATAAACAACAGATAACCTATTCAGACTTTAAGATGCCATCTTGAACTAAGTCAGGAAACTTTCCATGACGTATACACCCTTTAGTTATGGCCTTGTATGTTTGCCAAGTTAAGGGAGGTCCTAAATTGAATAAAGTAAAAGAAGTGTTACTTTTTCATATTTGAACTACAGTAACCTAAAATGACGACACCTAAGGTATAAATAGGTGTACTTTTAAATGTTAAGACAGAGGAGAGACTTGGAGACAGACGCTGCTGTAACGGACCGTTTAGCATAAAAGGGGAAAAAACCACTTAGACGATAATCCCCCTTTTCAGAGACAGGCACAGCTACTGTAGAATCACCAAAACTCACGAACTGAATACAAGTGAATTCTCCAAACTCCCGAACGGCATACAAGGGAATGGTCCAAACACTCGAACTGCATACAAGTGAATGCTCCAAACTCCCGAACGGCATACAAGGGAATGGTCCAAACACTCGAACTGCATACAAGTGAATGCTCCAAACTCCCGAACGGCATACAAGGGAATAAGGTAGCACTTCAAATAAACGAACAGGAACCATACGAATAGCTGCTAGCAGGCGAACAGGAAAAGCTTCCAAGCGGCTTACACTCCTGGCAATCAGTCCTTAGCAGCATACAGTAAATCCCCCCAAAGACGAGACAAGGCTCCGTGTTGAGGGTCAAGCAGTGGTCTGTTTAATGAGGGCTACCTGCCCAGCTTTTATGCAGGTCTCCCACCTGGTGGACACTCCCCTAGGGGACCAGATGGAAGACTGTGACAAGGGACAGACATGTACCAATTACAGACATACAGAAGTAAAACATCCCCACAATGCATCCTGGCTTCCTCCCTCTGCCCTGGAGAAGTAATTCAATTATCTCCAAGGACAAAGGCAAAATTCCATTACACACGTGGGGACACAAAGACAGACTATCACTTTAAAATACATAATGTAACATTTATCACATAAAACACAGACATGTAACATATCCCCAGATAGCTCAGGTCTGAGTGCACATTATTAGGTGAATGGCACTCAGACCACACAAATACAGTTTAATTGCCATGGAGCCAAAGTCTTTAATTCCACGAATAGGCTCCATGGCATAGCTATCTGGGTTAAAACATTCCTCCAACATAAAATACCGAATTTACAGGCATTCGTTCAATCCGTGCGAATTAGAACCAGGGGTTGGAGGTTCAGCGGTGCCTGCACGTAAAAGTGTCCGGGTTTGGTGCATGAAAGCCGGGCAGACAAGCGCTGGCTGCCCGGGGAGCTCCAGAACACCGCCATCGTGTGGCGGCTAAGTGTAACCGCGACCACCCAGTAACAATCAATTAAGCTGCGGTTAACCGCAGCTACTGGGTGGGCAATTGCCGGCACACGCTCGTTAAGCCGCGGTTAACCGCGGCTTCAGGGAGGTAAATGGAGGGCGCACTCCAGCTTCTGGGTGGCCAATTAAGGTCGCCGGGCGGCTTCCCACGGCTCTGGGGAGGCTGAAAATAAACTGTTTGTTTGGTGGATGGAATCTACCGAACGGCTGTGCAGAAAGGGAGAAATAAATCCTTCTGCACAGTAAAATTAACCCTTTAGCTGCCGGTCCATAATCCAAAGGCAGCAGGCGAGCAACCAGGCTTCTCCAATGCAATGTGGCGAGATTGGTCTCGTCACAGCTGCTCCATCTTAGAATGACAGAGAGGCTGACATGATGACATGTTCAGAAGGGTATGTTAACCTATTAATGATATTTGCAAGCATGTAATTTAAATCTTATAAACTCTGCTATAATGGATTTTATATTTTTATATAATAAATATCCAAAAGACAATCTTGCTTCCAAGACAATCCTTATTTTATATTGTATTCTCAATTATTTATATATGTTAAATAGAGGATCTCTTACACTATATAAAATTATAGCTAAGATATCTGTATGGTTAGCCCTACTAAGTTCTATGCTTTAAGACATTATAGTGGTAAATAAGGGAACCACCAGCGGTTACAAGGGCGACAATGTGTTTTAAATCCATCCAAGTACACTGGTAAGTAGCTTGAATGGTGGATATAGACTGGACTAGAGCTAATGGGGCCTTTTCTACATCTGGCAGCTGCTGTATTCCTGCCAGTTGTTCACTGGGTGTCCAGGACTTATATTCTTCCCAGTACTGGATACTGTTGGGGATAAAATCAGCCTGGGCCCTTTGTGGATGATGGATATTTGCCAACTCATACAGAGCTCTGGAAATTGGAAATGAATAGCAGAGACGTGTTCAATAACCAATTCAAATTGTATTCATACGTCAGTTATATTTATAACCCATTTTCATAGCAGGATGGGAGGGGGAAAAATGACCATATGGGCGTGACAATGACATTGTTTTTCACAAGTTATAAACATCTGTTTTTAGTTATAATTCGATGTCACATAATGTATGCATATTGGATAAAACCCAGATGATTACAAATACCGAAATCTTGGACAATTAACAAGGTCATTCCAGAATCCTTATCATGTCATGTCATGTAAATAACAAAATCATGTTCCAATAACATTTCCCGTAAATAGATAAGTCATTGTGACATGAGATACAATTCCAAATTTATTCTTGATTCAAATTAACCCTTACATGAACAGTTAGGATATAGAGCAAAATGGATATTCATATCCTACAGATACCTGAGCTCGGCTGTCTCTTCTCATGGTATACGCTCTCAACTTTGGGTATCATGGGAGTAGTAAATTGTGGAGCTAATGGCCCCACTGGGGTGTTTAGGGGGGCAAATAGGGGTTCCCTTATGTCTGGTGGACTACCCTCTTACTCTAATGAACCCATAGGTCTTACTGGGGCTGCTGGGGAACCATTTGAAGTCCCACTGCATAATATTACTGGAAAGAGAGGTTCGGATTTCAGTAAAAGGGCCATTATGTAAGCTGGGGGTTTAGGGGAACCACAACTTGTACACTTTCCCCCTCCCCCCCCAAGAATTTGTTCATTTGCACCGTGGACAGATCCAATATTCTTTCTGACTAGTGGTAGTTAAACCAAGAGATGCCTGATTTTGGGAAATCGCCTGGTCTTCAGGGACAAAGAAGTCCCTGCCTTATCCGGGTAAGGGGGTGGGTTTACAAGATTATTCCCAGGATCTTGCCTACTCTGGGATCACAGAGGTCCAAAACATTGATAATATAGTATACCTTTTCTGGTGGTTTCTCTACAACCACATTTAGTTAATTCAACTGCAATATCATGCCATTTTTGGGCAACTTCTACTGTCATCTTCTAACCATCCTCTTTAATTTGCAAAAAATTAACTCCATATATGTGGGCCTAGAGTGCCCTCTGAGGGCATGCAAGCGTTGGGAGGGGGAAAAATGACCATATGGGCGTGACAATGACATTGTTTTTCACAAGTTATAAACATCTGTTTTTAGTTATAATTCGATGTCACATAATGTATGCATATTGGATAAAACCCAGATGATTACAAATACCGAAATCTTGGACAATTAACAAGGTCATTCCAGAATCCTTATCATGTCATGTCATGTCATGTAAATAACAAAATCATGTTCCAATAACATTTCCCGTAAATAGATAAGTCATTGTGACATGAGATACAATTCCAAATTTATTCTTGATTCAAATTAACCCTTACATGAACAGTTAGGATATAGAGCAAAATGGATATTCATATCCTACAGATACCTGAGCTCGGCTGTCTCTTCTCATGGTATACGCTCTCAACTTTGGGTATCATGGGAGTAGTAAATTGTGGAGCTAATGGCCCCACTGGGGTGTTTAGGGGGGCAAATAGGGGTTCCCTTATGTCTGGTGGACTACCCTCTTACTCTAATGAACCCATAGGTCTTACTGGGGCTGCTGGGGAACCATTTGAAGTCCCACTGCATAATATTACTGGAAAGAGAGGTTCGGATTTCAGTAAAAGGGCCATTATGTAAGCTGGGGGTTTAGGGGAACCACAACTTGTACACTTTCCCCCTCCCCCCCCAAGAATTTGTTCATTTGCACCGTGGACAGATCCAATATTCTTTCTGACTAGTGGTAGTTAAACCAAGAGATGCCTGATTTTGGGAAATCGCCTGGTCTTCAGGGACAAAGAAGTCCCTGCCTTATCCGGGTAAGGGGGTGGGTTTACAAGATTATTCCCAGGATCTTGCCTACTCTGGGATCACAGAGGTCCAAAACATTGATAATATAGTATACCTTTTCTGGTGGTTTCTCTACAACCACATTTAGTTAATTCAACTGCAATATCATGCCATTTTTGGGCAACTTCTACTGTCATCTTCTAACCATCCTCTTTAATTTGCAAAAAATTAACTCCATATATGTGGGCCTAGAGTGCCCTCTGAGGGCATGCAAGCGTTCTTAAGTAACTTCTTAATATTCTTAATTGCTCCTTGTCCTTTGTGATGCTTGACTATTGTAAAAGCCGTTAAACCCTCTACCCATCTTAAAACTTTTAAGGGTTAATTACTTCTTTACACAAGACAAACTGTACAAAAACAGTGTATAAGACACTTAGGACCACTGCAGGGGAATTTTCACAATCTTGTCTTTATAAATCTAAACAAATATCAGGAGATCTGCCCTTGGAAGATTCTAACTCGAATTATAAAACAAATGACAAGGCAAACAATAAAAATAACTTTAAACCCACAGGTATATTCCACTATCTCAAGATTCTTTTTTAAGAAGACATAACAACATCCACCTAAATATAACCATAATACCACAGAAAACAAGTTCTTTAGATCAGATGTTTTTAAAATACTTACGCACCCCGACAGGGGCCTCAAAGAACACCAGAGACTTAAAATAAATTAAAGGTAGAAAAATAAAAGCTTTTCCTCACCCACTGCAGTCATCTGATTAACCATCATTTGGGCTCCGAACCACCCCTTCTGGGTCCAAATGGACTAGATTTGTCTGATCCCGGGTTTCGGCACCAATTGATATAAATTCAATGTGATCTTTGGTATATTCAAGAGAGCCCAAATTATTATTTCAAGTTCAATCAGAGAAGCATAAATCAGACAACAAACACCTGTTGGTAATCAAAATAAGCCTCTGAAAGTAAGTGCTTACGTGCAAATATTCATAGGACAGTAGTAGGAAGGGAGTGAAAGGGTGAAAGGAGTACAAATAAGACATAGGGATAAATGATATGTACATATAACAGATAAGTTCCAAGAAAGAGAAAGAACAGACTAATTTAGGAGAGACAGCTCAGGTGGGGGCTATCTTCTTCCAGAACAAGACATATATGGTCTTAAGTGTTTTAAGCATTAAGCATTTCCTGAGTCCAAGTTAGCCAATTTTAATATAGGGTATCTAATATGACACTTATAAGCGTGAACCTTGGAATCAAAGTAAATTATTTCACACAGGTTATATTGATGTTGCACAAACCTTTCTTGCTATATTAACAATGGCTGGACTTTTTACAGACATACCTATATAGATAGATAGATGATTGATAGATAGATAGATAGATAGATAGATAGATAGATGTAAAAAACAGTTACAATTTGTATCATGTAATACTTTTTTATTAGACTAACAGAATTTTTTAATGACAAACTTTTGGGAGCACCTCCCTTTCTGAAGTCTAGAGCATTTCTGCGATCCTGCAATCCTGACGAAGGTTCTGATTTGAACATATAAAATTCAAAGTTGAGGTATTTTACAGGAGTTAAAGGGACATGAGTGCAGATAAGACACGTTTGATAGAAAATATACACCACTCTTGCAGAGGTTCATAAATATCTTGTGCGAAGATCACAGAGTGAGGGGGGAGAGAAAAAAAAAAACAGGCAAACAGTACAGAAAATGGTGCTAGAAAGGGGGAGTAATAATATTAAGAATGCATGAATTCCCATCCAAGAGTTACAGGATATGCATGAAGGCCTATATCCAGTATACACAGACACACGCACACACTCACACACATGTACATATACATATACACAAGTAGTGTATATGTACAAGTATACACAAGAACATACACACTATATACAAGTAAATACAACCAAATGCATATAACACATGCATATACACATGCATATACATATAAATACAACAACTACACATACATCTACACACAAGCACCAATACATGTACCTACACATATACCAATGTTTCTACACATACATAGACCCATATATATGTATATGTACATATACACCTATTCACATATACGTACATGTATCATGTATATAAACACTTTATGCACACACACAAATAAATATATATATATATATATATATATATATATATATATATATATATGCAATTACATAAAAACATATACATATGCATACAAATGAACACATATGTACATATATGCACAAGAACTCATATATACAAATATAAATGCACAATCACATATATAAGCATACATGCATAAGAATATGGGAAAACATAGGTCTACACACAGTATTTATTATATTGATAGAATAAACATATTGTAATGCCTTTTAAAATGTTGATACATATGACAGAACAGTAAGATAATGCTGGGGGAGTGTTCATGTAAAGTGTTGGTAATGGGACAGGAAACCCAAATCAATATTTAGTCCTCTATTATGCTGTTAAACAATTTGATCATTCTGGCTTCAATAATATTTCTTTCTTGGGTATTTTTTAGAAAAAACCTTTCAGTACTTTGAAAATTTTGTATATATATATTAGCCAAATACTGTAAAGCAGAGTGCTGTGAAGTGGGCTATTACTACTGCATTTGCTAATATACTAATACATACATTTGCTGTTGTATAAGTACCAATATCTTGATACTCAACACTACTTGAAGTTTTAACATGATGTCAAAGAGTTCTTCAATATTGTAGATAAACTCACGAAACAGAAATCTATAACATTTTATCTTTTCATGAACTTTTCTAAGGATTAGGCAAGAGCATCTGGATCGAAAACCATTTTATCAAATGGTGGAATGATAAAATGCATAGAAACAGCTCACATTTATGCATATATGCATGCTTTCATGTATGAACATTTTGAAAAGAATAGAGATGTGAGAGGTATAGACATGTGAGTGATAGCTATTTAACCCCTTAAGGACCAAACTTCTGGAACAAAATGAAGCTTCTAAATATGAAAAAAATTATGAAAATTACAAAATATGAAGCAGCACTAAGATAATTGTGTTTATTTTTGTCTGTTTTTTTTGTTTGTTTTTTTCCTGATGTATTGGTCTCCAAATATTTGGATAGAAAATTAATTTACACATATGCAAAAATTAGTCATGGTGCAAATAACTGAATTACAAGGCTAATTTGGAAGTATGTAAAAAAAATGTGACATCATTGCAAACTAAATAGTATGCAAGATTAATTTAAATTCTTACAAAATATAACGACTTATGAAAACAACATAATATCTATAATTCTTTCAAGGAGTAACTTATTAAAGTATTCATGAGGCTATTTACCTGTGTGTTTCTGCATTAACATATCATAACAGAATGACCTTAGCTAATCTTAACCAACAATGTATGTACAACATTCCTGCCTTTAATCCAAATGCCATGGTTTACAGCGTAATGCATACATAGCAACAAAACATGTGCAATAAAATAATACTAATTGTGTCACAATATTCGTCCTGACTTTCATGGCTCATGCAAT